TCTTGATTAATCTATTAATCTCATCAACGAAACTCAATTAGCGTAATGCTTCTAAAGAAGAGTGAAATCATGGACCATGACCTGCATCACTTTATACTTTCCTGGTCAATGACCCGAACCAAGTCGATGACTCAACATTAAGCAAACACCTATCCCTCAGCAGTAATAAACTCGTTCTCATGTCCAAATGATACCTTATCTACTTCATATTTGTTTAATTATTCCATAAAAATGTAATAAATGCATTCACTGTTTCAATATTATTTTTCTAAAAATATCAGTTTAATTATAATTGATGTAACATCACATATCCATATTGAAAAAATTCAAATATAGATTTTTTTTAAGCATATTTTTGGTTTATTATTTTCAATAATGAACCATTGTAATCGAACAAAAAATTCATAAACTTAACCCTCTCTCAAAATTTGAGGTTTTACATTTCAAGATAGTAGAATTCGAAAAAGGAATAAAAATTTTTTTGTCCATCAGTCGTCTGCCATCCGCGCATTTTCTCCGAAACTACTGGACTGATTTTTTTCAAATTTGGATTTAAAGTCAGAGGTCACCCGAGGATGATCCTCCTTCATCAATATTTCTATCCACCTTTTCCTTTCAAGATAGTAACCAAAAATCCTGTGTTGCTATAAACTTCACTAAAGTCTTCTCATCGATGCCCTTTAAATTTACCTATATAACATACTTCAACAAAAAGAGCTGAAAAAAAAGTTATGAGGGATGGTAAAATTAAATTCTGAATAATTCAAAAAGGATGTACTTTTTTGTGGATAGTTATTTCAAAGTTTATGAAATTTTCTTTTAAAAAATCATTAAAATCGGACAATTTGGAGCAAAGATGTTTTTGATTTTTGAATGTGTTACTGAAGTAATGCTATTTTTTTTTTTAGCAAATTACTAATGATAAAAAAATGTTTAGGCAAATAATTGGAATTAACTATTTATTTCTTTTAACTAGAAAGGTAATGTTACTTAAGATATATAATTGTTGGGAAATAATAAACCACTGTGAAGTAATTTGTAGTGGTTTTTATTATTTAAAGAAAGTTTAGATTATTAACTTAGAAACTTAAGTTATAGATAGAAATTCCAAGAGTGTTTCATGTAAGTTCCTATCATGGTTGTTGAGGAAACAGTTTTGCTTGATATTAGAGAGCAGCTAATCATAACAATCGTTATCCCTCCATCATTCTGGATTAGTTCTATGTGTAAAAGTTAAACATTTCTATCCTTTTTTGAAGTTTTTTATTGTTATGAATAAAAAATTAACAAAACTATGTAAGATATGATCACAGGTATATTCATTTTCATTATCTTCTGCAGAGGACATTTCATCTGCAAGTATATTCTTTTATTTTTAACCAATGTTAACTGCTGCTAATTTATAATTTAAAAAAAAAGAAGGCAAAAGTACAATATTAATAAACTTACATATCTTTATTATTTTGTATGATATTTTAATCCATCCATATAGCAATTTTAAGCTCTTGTTGTGTTATTTATTAGTTGAAATATAATTAGTAATCTGAAGAGCATAATTTTTTTTAATACAAAGATTTTTCAAGAAAATTAATTCTATCGGAATGTACTTATTTTATTTTACCTTAAACAAAGTTTCAAGCTTGTTAGCTCATTTTCAAGATGGCTGTATTTATTTTTTGTTTTCTTTTCACACATACAAAAAAAAGAATTATGTCTGCATTAATTGTTAAACGGACCAATAATCTTTAATTATTAGCTATTGAAAATGAATGGACTCGACAGTGAGACCATCAGTGGACAACTTTAAAATAAAGAGAAATAATAACATTTATTATACATCTAGAACATTTGAATTGATTTTAATGGGAATGAAAGAAAAGCACACAATACAACATTTATTTCTGCCCAAACTGAGACTGGGGAAAGGATATGTTGCTTTTCATTTGTCTGCTGCTGTAAGAAGTGAGCCACCCCACCATACTTATTGCTAAAAAATCGTTAAGAAGGTACTTACTGCATGACGTTGCGGTCCATTAGAAACCAAAGCCTCCTCCAATATCCTACTCCATTCTACTTTATCCTTCACTTTAATTCACCATCGCTCGTTCGGCTTATCTCTCCTTCGTGAGCCATCAGGATGACTGTATGGCATTTGCCTAGGCAATCTCAATGTAGACATCCTTTCAACATGTCCAAGCCAGCCTAATCTTCTTTCCTTTATGACGTCCTCTTCTGGGAATAGTTCTTTCAGCTCGGAGTCCGTTCATGCTCTAAATCTTCCTCTTGCACAGGGCGAAATATTCTTCTTTGAACTCTTCCCTACCATGTCCTTAGCCTTTTCTTGTTAGCTGCTGTCATAACCCAGGTTTCAATGCTGTAAGTTGCAGTAGGCCTAATTATAGTCTTATAAAGCAATACTTTAGCTTTTCTTGAGAGATTTTTATAACCTAGGGCAGAGTGCATTGCACATAGACATCTATTCTCAGCAGCAACTCAAGCATTTATGTCCTCTGTCATTTTCTTTTTAAAGTTAAGATGGTAAGTGTATTTAATATTTTTATTTTGCGAATGTTGCACTTTTTTTGTCATGTTATTGCCAAATAATTATTAGGAAGGATTCCTTTACATTATTTGTTATTTTTTTTAAGTTCTAAAATACATTTCATGAGACATAAGTTATTTGTCAACCAGCACAGAAGGTAAGTTTTTTTTTATAAACAGAAATATAAGTATAACAATGTTTTAAGTAAAATTTTTATATTATACCTTGACAAGTGCTTACATATTGTAAGTTTATTGTTCAGATCAGTAGAAGATCCAGGATTTAATTATGGGACGGGGCATTTTTTAAAAATAATTCTTTTGTTTCTTTCTTTCAAGGACCAATTAAACATTGTTTCATATTTTTATTTCTTTTTCTTTCAGAGTAATCACCATCATAAAAAAAAAATAAATAAAAAATAAAACTGGTAATTACAAGAACATTAATGCCTTTAGATATAAATTTTTTTGTATTTTTTTCTTGACACACGCTGACATTTATTAGCTGTTTATGCATATTACGTCTAGAATACAGCACAGGGAAGTTAAAATGATGATAATAGGAAGAAAAGAAATGAAGGAACAAGGTTGATGAAATGAAAAAAGAAGGAAAAAAAGGATACGAAAAACAAAACATCATAAGAAATAAAACAACTACTACCATAGAGTAGTATTCTATATATGGATATATTTTAAAGAGAAATAAATTATTAGTAATAATATTAATTTAATGTTGACTAATGATTTGTTTTTTTGTTTTTTAAGAAAGAAAAAGAATTTTTGTAAATGGCTCTTGGAGCCGAAATGTTAAAAAATAATAATTTTTAAATTATGTATAACGTATTAATGTTTTTAAAGTTTCAGTATGGACTATGACATTAAATGAGCGTTTTATAAAAGATAATCTTATATAGATTAAATATAATAATATTTAAAAATCTCTCATATGGTATGAATTACCTAAAGAAGGTTGATTATCATAAATATTATTATTGTTAATATTACATCTTTATTATATCTCTTTACATTTAAAATGTTTTTTTTAGAATAATCATTTCTTCATATTTTGTACTGTTCCTAGTTTTACTGATGCTCATTAGAATTATGATCTTATAGTTTTTGAAATGTATCTAGTTATCTAGAGAGTGTATCTACTAATGTTTCTTGAAATAATGATATTTTATTACATATGCTTATTTTGTTTTTAATATTACATAAAATAAATAATTGGTTTATTAACGTTAGACAATATTTTTATTTCACACCTCAAAAAAAAGTCCTTTTTTTGAATGCATTTCGGCAAACTGATTTCTATTTTTTTATTATTATTTTTAATTATGTTACTACGGACATAGTTATCATTTATTTGGGTTAGCTAAATATAAAATTAAAAGGTTAATAAACAGTTTTATAAGAATTATATTATAAGGAAGAACAAAAAAAAAATTAAAAAAATCTAACGAATGTCTAAGAAGAGACTTCGTGCATTTGACAATGTGACACCTTTAACATAGGGTACAATAGCGATATCTTTCCCAGGTTAATGTAAAGTGATATTGAAAGGGCAGAAAGGAAAAAAGGGTAGATTTCTCTCCTCCCCTTTTATATTTTAAATAAAAAGAGAAAAAGTAAACAAACATATCAGATACTTATCCAACATGTTTGTACACAATTCTTAAGATGAATCACTAAATAATTACATCACCCCAAAGTATGGTACGACTCAATAAAATTTTAAGAATTATTTACTATATTATGAATTTTAAAAGGATTGCAAGTAAATGAATAAAAACTTTTTTTTTTCTTTCGAGTTGTTTGGTAAATGTACTAAAACAAAACAAATTTTATATTACAAATATAAATTTATTTATTATAAAATAGAATATCAAAGTCGATAATAAACTGTCAGAAGTGAACAATTTTCATCTAATAAATAGAAAAGTAGATAGGAACTATTTGGAGGACTAAAGATATCTTCAAAAAGTCTTCTATTGTTAACAATTGCTTCATATTTGCAAGATATTTTTTTTATTACAGGTTATTACAGGTGATAACTATTCTATGACTTTATCACAGTAAACAGACATTGAATAACATTCTATAAAAACTAAACATTGGTTCCTTAAGTTAAAAATAAATAATATTTATTTTGATTTGTTTATGGTTCTTATACATATATTTAAAAACTAAAAAAATAATTTTGATTATAGATTTTTGATTTTAATTTGACAATCTTCAATTATTCTTTTTTTTTTTCATGTTTCGTATATTAATTTTCTGATCACCAAATGAGTATTAAAATAAAAAAAAAAATAATCATTAAATGCCCAACCTCATTCAAATTCAATGCAGTTGAATTTCTAACTATTAAGCTTGTATTCTTCAAAAACAATATAAAATTTCTGTATCTTAAATTCTTTAAATTGTTTATGTATTTAATGTAAAAAAAATATCATCAACTCGAACCAGATGAACCAAAAGATAATGGTACTGAACACATTAAGGGGAAACACATCAGCAATTAGATAACTAATTAGCATACAATAAAAAAAATATTGTATATACAATGAACGATTAATTTTTTTTCATCAATGAAATAGCCATGAAAAAATGTTTCAATTTAAAAAAAACCTAGTGATTAATATGTACTAAATACACATCTGTGCCAAAAATAAACATAGAAATAATGAGGAATATTTTTTTTTTCAATACACTTTCAATTTTGATAATTATTATTCAACTGCATTTCATTACACCAATTTTGAAAAATAGCTTACCAAATAATCATTTCACCTTTTGTTCCTTCTACAATTCCACTCATGAATAAACTATTTAAATGAAATATATCTTAAATTAACAATAAGAAGTAATAATAAAATAGAGTATATAGATTTCAAAAGATAAAAAAACTTAATAGCATCAGATAATAAAATTTTCCATGTACAATGAGTGATCTAATAAAGCTAAATAGTCAATCGATTGAAAGCTGCTTGAAAGATCCTTCCATTCCGAATAAATCATCATAGGTTTTTGGTTTTCCAGGTCGTTTTGCTTCATCAGCTTTTACACTGTCTTGTTCAAGGAACCAATCACGATAAAGAAGCATTTTATCATACCATGTCTCTGTAAAATAACGACTAATTGTTAATTATATTAAACAACACTACTCGCTACAACTTAATTATATAGCCAAAAATAATTGAGACTACAATTAAAGTAATTAATTATAACAAGAAATAAAAAAAAGTTTAAGCTTAAGCAAACAATAATTTAAATAAAGATAATAGTATTTTTTTTTTATTAGTTTTAATTATAAGTTTTATTATAATATTATTATAATTGTAATGATAATAATTTAATTTAGAATTATAAATATGGGAATAACAACTGTTTTAGACGTATACCGTAAAGTTTTCATGCATGCATTGGTTGATATTAATAAGAAATCGATGAAAAAAATTCTTCCATGTAAATTTTTTTATCTATTGTGTAAGTATTACTTCAATGCAACTGTTATTGGTCTTACCAAAAATATTTGCTTGATAATAAATACATATATTTTAAATAAATATTTTAGTATAAAACGTGATTTTTGATGCAGCAAAAGTTTTTGTAAATATAGATTTATAATAATTTACTTATTTATTTTAATCCAATTTTTTAAATTAATATTTTGGATGCAGTCCTTTGTTTTGTTTTTTAGTATCAGTATCCTTTAGCATCTTATGTTTTAAAAAATATCTATCATTTCGGAATTAATGAATTCATCTTCAAATTGGGGAGAGAATTTTCCCCCATTCTTCCAACATTTTAATTTTAAGATATTCTACTGATGTTATATTTTCATCATTAAACTATGAACCAAGACAAGTCCATAAATGTTTGATAAGTCTGGACTTTGAATAGAACTTTTATGTTCATTTTGAAAGTTATATAGCAGCCAATCCAATGTGTTAAAATTTTAATGTTTGTTTTACAACCATTTTAACATTTACCGGCCTTTAAATTTCCTTTTAACTCTTATTAAATATTCTTGATCACCTAATCGGTAAAAAAGAAATTCCTTACTCCATATACAGACATACAGTCACAGACATAAACTGTATCTGACAAATGTTTCTCCTCAAATTATTTTCCAGCTTTCCGTCACACTAACAATATTAAATTTTTTTCTCATCTGGATATTACATCATTCCAGTAACTTTCAAGTTTTATCTTAAACGCTTTGGTAGAAGCTATCCTATTTTTTTAATTCATGAAATTTATGAGAGGTATTTTCTATTTACTCTAGCTTTAACTCCACATCGTTTTAATATTCTTTGAAATGTATCTGGTTTAGCTTGTTTTCCTAATAGTTCTCGTTTATTTTTGTAGACTGTTAGAGCTCATGCGGCGGAAATGAGTATGAAACGAACAGTCAAATTTACCAGGATAACAATCCTTGGCCCAAAAAAAGCGCTCCACACATATGATGGCTAGTATATAATTAACAAAATCAATATGAAACTTCTATTCATAGTACAGATTTAAATCCCATCAAACATTTATGGGTTGAAGATATGACATCTCTAAAATATCTTATAACTAAATTTTTGAAAGAATGACAGAAAATGCCATCCCAATTGAATTCGAAGATAACTCCATCATTGCCCGAACGACTTAAAATTGTATTAAAAATGAAGGATTTCACACAAAAATATTAGCTAAGCTGGATTAAATTCCATGAGAAACTTTTTTATTTCTGTTAATCTCAAATTGATGTTTTTGAGGGTTGGTATATTTATGCATAATGCTCATTTCTCTTATTTTTAATTTTGCATTGATTGAATTTCTGAAGAAGATGTTAATACTATTGTATTCTAATAACAACGCTTCTTAGAAATGTTTATATTATTATTGTTCTTATTAGTATTGATCAGCAGCTATTTATAGAAACAGAAAATAAAAATTATTTTGATAATTATATTTAAAAAATCATTGATTTAAAATTTTTATTCTAATGATCTAATTCGACAAGTAGTAAGAAGTACTGAAACCTAAAAATAACAGTTATTGCTGATGATTAGATTTAACAAATGACAAGAAGTATAAATTGCTAAGCAGTATAACTTACGGCTTATTTCTGAAATGGTTCCTGAGCTACCACCATACTCTTCAGGTAAGACTTCTTTGGGAACTTGCTTATGCAATGATTCCAGATTTGGGTGAACATGAATCTAAACAAAGCAATAAATGATTTATAAGAAATGTTCACATTGTTATTATTATTGTAATTACACATCTCATAGCCTGTTTAAAAGAAAAACAAACGGTATTTCTTGAAAAAATTAATAAAAATCCCATTCTTACAATAGGCTGAATTTTTTTTTCTATTTAGGTTACTCTATTTTTGGTATCTGCATAAATATACTCACTCGATTCTTTATTTTTTCTTTCAAGAATGGCTTGACGAAGTTGATGATGGTATCCACAATCGGTGAAACATTGATGACATGTACTTCTTTCAGCTTGACTGGATAAGCTTCCTATATTAAAATAGAAATAGATTTAAAGTTTATAAGTTGGTCTATAGGACTTAAAATCAAATTAATGTATGTATTCATGTATCTAAGAGTTTGCTTAGACCTAACTAATGATTATAGAAAACTTCTAATTTTACATATTATTAATAATGTTATAATAAGATTATTAGCTTTTATTCTATCATCTATGTAATGCTGCTAGAGCATGAAAGTATGAGTTGATGTGATGTTCCCTTTAGAGCATCTATTGTTCTTTACTAAACCAAAATTATAATTAATATATACTAATACTGAAACATGTTACATTAAGTGTGAAATTCATTAATATAAATAGTTTTTTATTTGTTTTAAAATTTATTTTGTTCTGTAAGTTATACCGTCAAACTAACAGAAGATTTTCTATAATATACTATTGTATCCGATGTAACTATCTAAGTATCTAAATTTTAAAGCCTCTGCAAGAAAGATTCGCTTTGATAAAAAAACATATATATTCTATGACATTTTATTGTATGTTTCATATAATTTACAAGAAAATTGAGCTATTTTAATTTTTGTATAACATATTCCTTGGATAATGCATAATGGTTTGAAGGAGATATTACATATTTTATTCCGTATTTAGTCAACAAAGAAGATTCATATTAAAATCTCAAAAAAAATAAATAAAAGAAAAAGAAAAATAGCTTTTTATGCTGAAAGTATTTTCATATGTAAACAAAAAAAGAGTTGGAAAGTTCTACGTGTGCCTGAACCAGAAATGCTAATTCGATTTTTTGTGAATGTCATGTTTAGCCTTCAATTTATTATTTGTTTAGAATCTATCACATTCTAAGTTTTAGTGAAGTTATTTTGTTTACCTGATAAAATCCCAAAAATCAAATCAATCTCCTAATAAAACTTTTCTATAAGACAATATTTTTTTAGTGATATTTATAAAAAAAAAGATAACATCAAGCCAACAATTTGGGCTGAAACTACATGCTTCAACAATTAATGAAATGATTATAGTAAAAACAATTTGAAACTATTATTTATCTACATAATATTCAGGAAGTAATAAATATACTTTTAATAGAGATTTCTGCTGAGCATTCATGAGAAATGATAACTGAACTAAATAATAAAAATTTGGAAGCATTTTTCCCAATCTGTAATTACCCATATTAATTTGTCAAGAAATAAATACAAGATTATGTACAATTTGAAGTTTTATCTCACATATTACTGGCAACTTTAAACATTGCATATTTTTAAGTGTTAATTTTATTTTTTTAATAAACAGTCATTTCATTATTTTTGGTGATGTGAGAGGCTTCCAGTAATTTTCTGTTAATATTTTCTTGTTCAATGTCTATTATTAGTTTAAATAATTTTTAGAAATCTATATGTGTTATTTCCCAAACTATCCCAGGTTATTAGTCTTTTTAAGATATTAATAATAAATTCTTTATTTTTGTTACCTGAACACAGATGAGGAACTTCTTGATGAGGGTCGGAGTAAACTTGGAGTAATGAGCAGCGTAGTGAGCGGGTGTAGCTATGGAAGCATCTAGGATGTAGATATCGCCTGCAACTCCAGTCAATTCTTCTTTCAACCTGATATCTCCAATCATGAGGACAGCCTTCATAGCTTCTGTGACGCTGGGGATCTCATTCTTTGTTGGCTCCAGAGCTCGCATCACGATCACCCTTCGGCCATTGGGTGGCAACTTGGGTAGTGGAGGAAAATGGCTGTTGACACAAGAAAAATAAAAGTCAAATTATAAATTAATTTTTTTATAATGCCCTACCAGCTAATTGAAATATATTCCTTTGAAAGTTAGTGTTGGTATTCAGTCTATCATATTAACATTGCTTGTCAGCTACTAACTCTTACTTTTTAGAGTTCTTGATGATTTAAAAAAATAAAATATTCCTATATGATCCAAAAGGGAGATAAGTAACAAAGATAATTTCCTGAACTTCTCTCTCAATCATTTAGTTAAAATAGTGTTACTTGTTTTGATATACTAAAGTTGAAGCAACTCTTCAATTATTTTATTATTTTATTATTAAGTATAACTACAAATATAGTCAACAGAAGTCTAACATTGGCAATTTTTATGAAAATAGAAAGTAAAGGCCACTTTTGCAGTGCTTGGCAGTTGATGATATAGAGTACTTTATCTACGTAGATTAAAATATGGTTGGCAATCCAAAATAAGTCCCAACATTATGACATTTTTTTGAAAAAAAAAAAACTTAGATTCTGGGAAAAATTATTGTCAACAAAAATCAGATACATATTCAGTGACCCAAGAAACTGGGCTTTACTAAAATTTACAACAACAGCAAAATTTTCCGTTGAATGCTAATGCTGACCTAATTTGATTGTAATATTGTTGTTATTTAACTTTTTTATTTTTAATGTTGTGTTAGTTGGGTGCTCACTTTCTTTTTTTTCTAATCACTTTAATGCAATCATAGTTCAGAAATGGTTCCCCTCTAAAATCATTTTAATGTCCAAAAAGTTGAAAAATTTAATTATTAACTTCAAAATGCAAAAATGGTAATAAAACATTTTACCTGATGGGTTACTGAAATTTAAAATCAATGTCAATTGCAGCAGACCCAGGAGTGGGGAAAACTTTTCCTACTAAAATAAAAATTGAAGAAGAAAAAAATGCCAATGTTTTAAAAATGATCAATATTTGTCAAATACTTGTGAATTATCATTTATGAGGAAGGAGAAAATTTAAAAAAGTTACTTAAATTGTTAGAAATCTTGCATTATAGATGCAGCAATGGAATCATTTAATTATCTTGTCTATAACTAAGAAAATCGATTTTTAACAGTTGGATAATTGATTTATAACAATTTTTCCCTCAAAAAAGGTAATATATTTTCCAAATTCTGTGGTCACCCTGACAGTTCCCCTTTCAAAAACTACCTCTCTATCCATCTCATATATTATTATCTGTGTTCGAATAGAAAAGAAAATTATTTTTGTAAACAGTAAATTATTATCAACAGGTTAAGTGAAAAAATCATATCCATAAGAGTTAGAAAAATTAAAATATCTCTTTACCATATCAATATATTATACATAGCTTTTTAATTTAAGTGCCTGGAAATTTTATTCCAACTGTTGATATTTATGCAATAGCAGATAAAGGAAAGATTTAATTTTTGGAGGGCATACCTACTTCTTTATTTATCTTTATTAATGATGATAAATTTAAACAGTAAACAATTTGTGATAGCTTATTATTTTACTTTGTGGGTCTTCAGACCAAATGTCCTCTCTCACCTCCCTTGAATCTGTTAGTGTGTAGTGAAGTTTCGTTTTAACTATGAGAATTGTTGGAAAATTTTATATTTTGCCCTTCTCTACAATAAAATTGTTCAATCAACGTCCCTGGTAACAGGTCTAAAACTTTAATCAGGTTTTCCACTTTGATGAAAAAGTTCTATTTTTCGGGAAATCTTAAAGATTATGAGAAGAAAAGGGGAAACAAGTTTTAATCAATTAATGCATAATCTGTGCACAGTTTAATCTATTTTTTATATGTAAAACAGACATCGAGTAGTTATATATAATACTGCATATATATATATATATATATATATATATATTTAGGCAGCAAGGATTTTGAAGTTTGTGAAACAAAATGAGAAATCTAACTGACAAAAAGAGAAATTAAAAAAGATATGGTGGGAATGTTGCCTTCAATCCATAGTTGTACATTAGTGCAACATAAACTCGAGAAAGAGCATCTACATCTAGAGAGAGAATCGCTTTATTTTAATAAAAGGGATGCTGCAGAATCATATTGAGTTACTACAAAAACAGCATACTAATAAATCATTATGGACAATTTTTTAAAAGTAATATATAAGTATACAGTATTAACAATATATATATGAAGATAATACACAATACCTTTAATTTTATATATATATGTATTATTTTTATATATATATATATATATATATATATATATATATATATATATATATATATATATATACATATAAAATTAAAGGTTATATATATATACATATATATATATATATATATATTACTTTTATATATATTTTTATTTTTTTCTTCTTTTTTTGACAATTTCTTTCATTCATTGATCAACATTTTACTTCACTTCTCTCCCCTTATAAATTCCTCCTCATATTTTCTCCTCTCTCTCTTTATAACCTAATTCATAAAAATATATAACTATAATTATTACTTCATTCACAACGATTGTGAGTTGTGTACAAAGAAGACAAAATAACGGTGTATTATTCAGTGCTCTATGATTGTGTACTTTCGATCCTAACGATAAACTGTGAGGAGGTTGTTTATGATTTCCTAAGCTTTGCCACAGGAAGTGCCTATTTCCTAAGAGGTACCAAATAGAGGCGCGTACCTTTTATTTGTTCTTCTAATCGCCCTCTAAGGCCTAACTTTCTCTTCTTCTCTTTCTTTAGAACTGAGGTGAAATGTCAACCGAGAACGAATTCTCGAAACTATCTTATCACGAACTCTTTGATGATGTAAGGTAAAATCATACGAATTCAAGGGGAAGATTTTTATTGGCCAGATGTCAGGTGTGGTTGTTAGCTGAACTGTTCTTTTGAACATTAGGGTAATTTTCTTTCTATTCTCTGGGAGTCCTTTTAAATGATAACTAGAGCTTTCATCATTTATGAAAAGGAACCACCTCTCTTCAATGAGGTAACCATCCTTTGAAGTTACCGATCATTAAAAACACTACACAGGCTTGAGACGTCCAACAAACTGGTTTGAATTTCAAAACAAACAGTAGATTTAAGATTAAAGTTGAAAGTAGACAAATATAGTCATAAACCTTACGAAAAATAAAGTGAAGAGTATTTCTAAGAACTCAAGGAAGGGAATTGTGCTATTATAATTATAATTTGTCCCACGATGTAAGAGTGGGGCGGTGTTAAACTTTATAGACCATGATATAGACCTCTTTTTATCAAATTATTAACAACCCCCTATAACTTCATGAATAGCTTCATCTCATCGTAATATATAACGTTTTTATTTACGAAAAGTCTGGAAATTGGGACGTATTCAATCTGGAAATTGGCAAATTTTGTCTATTTAATTAAGTACTAAAAACTCATGAAATTCTATTTGCTTTCCACTTGAATCTTAAGTTAATTTAATGACATAATCGATAAAAAAGGTGTCCAACAAAAATATTGGGACATTTGATTCCACTTCCACCTCAACACGTCAAAATAACCAGGTTATACAAGCCAAACGTCCCAATGTTTTTGTAGGACACTTTTTTTTTTATCAAATTATCTTTCGATTCAAGTTGAAAAAAATGGGTATTCATTAGTTTTTATTGCTTCAATAACATAAAACACCCTCCTGAGACTTTTGAACAATTTCTGAAAATTTTCGTTTATTCGTTAAAAAATTTGTAGGTTACGATAAGATGAATTCATTCAAAAGTTTTAGGTGGATTTTAATAATTTGATAAAAAGGGATCTGTACAACGGGGTAGTAGTGAATCTGTTGAAAACTGTTTATAGTAGGCCCCTACAAGTGACAGTTACCATGACAACACCACGATTAGCTACTGTCAATTATCATTAAAAACATCTTAGTGCAAGAGTATTACCAAGACTTCAAATTTCACACAGTTTACAAAATGCAAGTGGCTGCGGTAGTTGCTATAATTTGCGATAACTTTGATGAGTGAAAACGGACGTTTATTTGAGTAGTATACAATAAGCTTTTCTATATCAGCCATTTTGCTAACTGTCGCACTACACGAGACACTACTACTATATCACTGTTGTTACAACACTAGTAAGGCGAAAAGAGCCAAATATTCACTAAATAAGAACTACATCCTTAAATAGCCGATTCAATGGATGAAAATCCCAAGGGTGTAAAATTAAATTTAACAAATTTTCTTTCGATACAATTCTCCATTGATGATTCCATTAGATATCATTTAATTAAATCAAACTTACAAAATTTCAAAAACTTCTTTAATTTCGGCTCTGGTCGGATCTCTGTTGGCGAAGAACTCCGGAACTGCGGCTCTCATCGTGAAGTACATGTCCAACTTCCTTTTGGTCTTTTCGAGGGAGAATTTGCATCCTCGAAGAAAGGTCATGATCCGTTGATCATCTGTGAACAGAGGATTAAGTAATACATATATATATATATATATATATATATATATATATATATATATAATTTGTACGCAACATACAGTCATTGCTCATGGGTTGAAGAAAAAATTAATTAATTATGTATTTAAGATATTTACAACTGTATTACAATATAAATACATTAAGTAAATGTATATACAGGAATATAATCACATGAAAAAGCTCGTTGAGAAACTATACATGGGTAGCATTCTAAATATGTCTATATAAGGAGATCACGAGGCCATCTTCTTTTCAGACACCTCGGAGGGTTAATAGGAATCGAAGAGGAATCAAGGTTAGAAACGAGAGGATTCGGATGGTTATGAAGTTTATTAAGGAAGGATAGGTGTCTTGATTGGGCAAAATCGAAAACATGTGAAACATTAAGGTTTTTATGGATTATTTTATTTGTGACAAAGTAAGGTGCATTGAGGATTTTCCGAAGGATTTTGGATTGTAAGAATCGGATGCGAGAGGAATTTGATGGATTAGTGGAGCCCCATAGCTCAATTTCGTAAATCCAAATAGGCCTTATTATAGTTATGTATATTAGTCTTTTGATATTAATTGGAAGTTTTCAGCGTTTGTCTAGTAAGTGTTGGAGTAATCGAAAACGTCGAGCAGTTTCCGTTTCAGTCTTGTATAAGGATTCGAAGTGAGTCGTTTGTCAAGGTGGAGTCCTAGGTATCGGATTTATTCAACAGGGATAAGTGGGGTTTTATTAAAGGATACTGTGGGACAGGGAGTCATAGATTTAAGACGAATTATTTTTTAAAATTTAATTCAGATTTTTATTAGAACTCTTAATAAATAAAAAAATATATAAAACCAGCCTCAATATTTTTCTGGTCTGCTTTCTATTATGATATCTTTTAATTTTTGAAATGCAATTTCCGAAAGTGAAAGTTTACGTTAAAATCATCTTTGGTGTACGTGACAAAAGAAAGTGGATTAAACCAAGAACACGAAATTCTTGATCATTATGGTTTAATAAAAACAAAAGCGTTCATGTAATTCGGGTGACTTGATTAAGTCGCTCACTTCACAAGTATTATGAATTCAAAAGCAAGCTCTGACGAGGAATTTACTCTAATTTTCACCAGAAAAAAATTCACTAGTCTAAAATTTTATTTATTCTGTGAACATTGGTCCTCTCGAAAACCTAACATATGTTTTAGATTTCAAAATTGAAAGCGTCAACTTAAGTAGAATTCTTTAAAACAATGAAAATCATGTATTGTGTCCTTGAATATAAGGCATTACAATCAGTTTAACCAAGAGGAATTTTTCCACTCGTATTTATAGTATAATAATATAATTTTAACATTTAATTTATTTTAAAAATGAAATTTACCCTAAATATAACTTAAAATTTGAAATAAATCGATACTCAATAGTGTAGTCGTAAAATTATAGTATTTTATAAATTATGCTTTCATAATAATGGACTCAAATTTGGAAGAAATTCGAAAAGTGGAAATAAATACTGTGGGATCTTAAAATGTGTATTATTTTCGAATACTTCGGAAATAATTAACTAAAACTATGAAGAAATGTGTAATTTTCTTTACTTTAATGACAATTTTTGCCACATTTGGAGAAAATAGATCAATTCGGAGTCTCAAATTATCATGGCAAATACGAGTGGAAATAAACTTAAAACCAGTTCATTAATTCCCATACTTTTATAATGATTTAAAACATGATAGATTTCACGAAATGCATAATATGATTCACTCTTTGACCAAGGGTATAATCATCGGACAAGAAACAAAAATAATCAAAAAGAAAAGACGTATTGTGTAAGGAGACGTATTTCAATGTATATCCTTAAATCATGTGTATGTATGTATATGCAAACATGCAATAATCTATATTAAGCTACTTGGCTAACAATATGGAACCGTCACGTTACTTGAAGATCTTAGCGTGCCGGAAGAAAAAAAAAAAAAATACAACCTTGATTGTAAAATCTAAGCTCTCCCTCCCATCTTATAGAATGCACGATATATTTACTACAGAGATGACAAAATAATTTTACAATTAACTTACTCATGTTTTCATATCTTATATTTTTACCTAGTGAGGGAAAGGAGGGCCCAGTGGCATCCCTTCCTATCTTAAATTTAGCATATTTTTAAGCGAGTAAATCTCTCATCCAGCTTCTTTTGAGCCTTCTGAGTGTGTTTTCGGGTATGTTAAACATAGCCATACTTTGTATAAGTGTGTTAGTATGTCCATGTAAGTTATCGTGAAATCTTTTATAATGTGTCCGTTAGCTATTTGAAGGTCTTTATGTAAAGTATTGTTCATGACGTACCATGGAGCTTTAGTTTTGGACTGAAAAATCTGTAGTTTTCGTAAGTGGGTCTGTAAATTCGTGAAGCATAGGTGCATATGGACTTAAGTAGATAAATTTAAGTATTCAGTTTTTGTTTTAGTTTTAATTTAGAGCGTCTAGAGATTAGTCTTAGAGAAATCAAGATGCAAACATGCTAGTCCCAGTTAAATTTTTTTTTCTCCAAAAAAATTCAAATCTCTTAATTTCAAATCTGAAACTGTTTCTTATAAGTTAGTAAAACTTGACATTTTTTCATATGTGTGTAGTTCGCTTAATAAATATAAAATTTTCATTAATAACTGTACTGGGTGTCATGAAACCCGTGTATGATATGGAGTGGAATAACCCATGGTCTTTATTCATTTTAATAAAGTAGAGTTTTCATTTATTAATAAATGCTAATTTAAAAAAATACTCTTTATAGGTTGTGTAGATTCAAGAGTTTTTCTAATTTCATGTGTCCTTGGTGAATTATTGAAATATGGTAATTTCTGATTTCCATATTTCTTAATTCTATTAAATTTTCTGTGAAGACTTCATATGTAAATTAAGAAGTCTGAGGTTTAACATTTTTATTTTTTTGTTGATATGTGGGATCCATGTCATGTACTAAAATTTAATCTTGTACATTATAAAGAGTTTTATCAATTATGTTTTGTTAATCGTTGCCAACTTTTACTAATCCCCTTTTTGATGTTAATGTTGTTTTCACATTGCACGTATTTGTCAGTTTTGTTTACTGATTTTCTTAAAATGAACATGTGTAATTTTTGGATCTTCGCTTAATACTTTGACCTTCCTTCATTGGTGTTTACACCTAAATTCTGGCAATAACGGAATAAGTTAAAACCCATTTGAGTACAATTTACGACATACAAGAATAATTTTATTTGTCACAAAATTAGAATCTTCCAACAGTTTACAGTTGTTGAAATTTGATAAGAGAAGATGATTCAATTTCGTAGAAAATTTCTTCCAGATAGTTGATGTGAGATGGGATAAAATGAAGCATTCTGGTTGTTTTGCAATCTGTTCAAGTTTTTTATCTGCTTTATTCAACAGATCTTTAAAGACAAGAAAATACCTTATCGGCCATTGATATATCATTGTAACGGTTATCTCTTGAACGAGTGAATCGATTTTATAATTTATTTTTGTATTATTTTCTTCAAATTAACCCTGAGAAAACAAAAATGCATGCGCATTGAAATAAAACCTCAACGGGTTTATGAGGGTATTGAGGGTCGACGGTGAGATTTAGAGCTTGTGGAAATGTTAAAATACTTGGTTTCACACTCAACGAAACGTATATATTGACGAGGAGGTAGAGCAGAGAATAGAAGCTGCTGAAGAATGTACGGCTCAGTTAGGAAAGGCTTCTGAACCGAAACAAGGTGACCCAAGGAAACGAAGATGACGGTACTATACAGATCAGTAGTCCTATCTTTCTTATACAGACTATCTTCCAAGTCCTGCACATTACTTCAAAAACACAGAGCCAGATCAGATCTAGAGATGCGATACCTGTGAAAGGAGGAAAAAAGACCAGCGACGAACAGAATTCGCACTACTATAATCCGTCCAATCTCAACGCAAAGCGTCGAAACCTATAATAGAAAAAATACAAGGTTGAGATGTTGGCACCTTCTCCGTATGGACTCGAACAGAGTTGCCACGACAGACATTATGAGACACGCGAGCAGTAGGAGACCAGAGCACACAAGACCCAGAAGCTTCTGGAAGAAGCGTCGAGATGCATTCCAGAAGCGAGGTTTAGAATGGAACAGGAGACGAGAACTGTACTGAAAGGTCCACGCTGGTTCATAGCCTCCTACAAGAAGCAACCTCACACTGCATCGCGGTAAAGAGAATAGGATTATGATGATGATTATATTCTCAGCTTCCGACTTCTATGCTAAATCGAGGACTCGAATCGAAAAATCTTTTTTTTTTATAAGCAGCATTTGCGCATTCAGCGAGAGTGAGCTTTCGACCTAAAGTTCTTTCCATCTCCACTAACTGAGCACAATTATTAAACCGTCATATATGTTTTCTTTTTTAATCGAAACGCTTAGAGAAAATATCTTTGTTAATGCATTCCAACGATTGGATTTTATTTTTTATGTTGTAACATTCCTATGAGGCATCTTTATATCCCATCCACAGCAGTTAACACTGAATTAAAGCATAAAAAAGATACTGCACTGTAGTATTAAAAGGGCTCAAACGATTTGGATGAAATGTGATTAAATCATTCTCCTAAAAAGCCTTTAAATGTTCATCACAGCATATCCCCGAGAAAATGTAGGCAAAAATGCAGATAATTTTACATCCGCAAGGCTCAAAATAATGTGTGTATATATATATATATATATATATATATATATATATATATATATATTTCGATAAATTATTATATAATTACTTGAAATTTAATTAAATTATCAACAAAAAAATCATCTAAATCTGACAAGTATTAGCAAAGATATGACTTATTATTATTTGAATCCATGTTACCCAAGTTATGTTTGAATTATTTTCAATGTATTCAATTTTTATTATTTTTTCAAAAAAATTAAAATCTATATCACCACATCCTCATATAAAAAAAATCATATTCTGTTTAATTCAGTTTAAAAATGACCTTACTGCAATTTAAAATATTTTAGTAACTCTCAAAATTAATCATGACTATTTTTTTTGGATTATCCTATACCTTATTATACGGAGGAGGGGGTTTTGTTCTAGAAGTACAACCAAACCTTTTATATGCTGAGTAAGAAGGTCGAAATTTATTCCGTAACTCAAATAAATTTCATCCAAACCAGGCTAGGATTAGAACCAAGATTAGTTAAAAATCAAGACCAAAAAAATTTTTAGCAGTCATGATGGGCAGCAATCCTTACTAGTCGCCGAGCTCCATTAATAAAGTTTGCCCAATCATTCACTAATTGAGCTAACAAGCTGTTAAATCCTTGTCGCATCATCCCAAATATCGCTAATCATCGGTTGAGTCTCAGTTGGGTTGACGCTAAACGATGTTTAATTTTTTTTCCTTCAAGGACGAAACCTTTTTTCTGTGTCAATTTCCCTTCTTGGAATAGCTTCGTTGGCATGATTCTATGATTCTCTGATTAATGTTTTAATAATTAGTCTATGGTCATCATAACGTTAAAGAGGATATCTAAGTCAGTTGGAAATATCCCTAAAACTCATCAGAAAATAAAGAAATTTTCAGAAAATGAATATATATATATATATATATTGACTAAATATCACCGATAAAATGTTCAGTGTGTTTTAGACTTTACTTTTAGTTTTAGTCTTTGGAATTCTCGATAATTGATTTATTATGTTTATCATTAATTTATATATAAATATGATAGTAAGGGATTCAATTTATGGCTCAAAAATATTCTAAAATAAAGCCAAATATAATATAATTAAAGCTCTCTATGAAAGAATTTTCTGATTAGAAACAGTTAATGAGCCGAATCAGTTAATGAGCTAGGAAGGTTTAGTCTACTCTAAACGCCTATCAGTGAAGAATAATATCATTATTTTATTAAATCATTGACATAATGTTCATTAGAACCTTTGATATACAGAGTGTACCGTAAATATTTATTTTATAATAAATCTCTAGAGCTACAAAAATTTATATATATAGACAATTGTCCGTCTCCATACAGAATAGTAGAAAATTTATTATTTATATCAAATTCCTATCATTATGTTTGCATAAATGTATTTTCACTAACACTCCTATATGTTAAAAAAAAACACGTTCGATTAGATCCAAAGCTGAAAATAGTTCATGAAGTGAGGAATTGGTGAAAATTGATCATATATCTATTTTATAATATTCCATCCACAAATTAAAAAAAAATATTATCGTTTACGGATACAGGAACAATTTTCCTTCGTTTTCTAAAACGACTAGATCGATCTGAAAATTGGAGGGAATTTAAGAAATAATGTACAATACAAATATCAATTTCAAGTATCAATTTCATCAAACTTCATTAATATATTTAATTACTGAAAATATAATGACTAGGAAATGAATAAATGGAAACAGAAGTTATATTTTACTATAGTCATATGTTTTGTAGAGTTGAATTTACTTTACAAGCATAACACCTTCCATTTTTTTCTAATATTAACTCGATCTGATGATATTTGTAGAATTAAAAGGAATTAATAAAAGCTAGATGGTATAATATTGATTTTATAGAATTTGGCCTATTTGCTGTCTATTTTTCTTGGAAATAATAGATATTTGCAGTGTCTAAAACGTCATAAGTGTTTTCTATCCGATTTAGAACCTCTAGAACACGATTATGCTATTTTTAGTTATGCCAGTGTATATACATACATACACAAACTGTTATCATGAGAATTACACTATTATTGGTAGTATAATTACTTATATAATTCATTTCAAATAATTTTTGAATTTTTTTATATATATTCATTTTTTGTTGATGCAACTATTGTAATAATAAATATGCTGTACGGCTTAGTTTTCTAATGTAATTAGATTTAGATTTATATATATATTTTTTTTAATCATGGATTTCAATATACAAGATGTATCGTTAAAATGATAAAGTTAGCACCAAATAGAATCAATACATAAGTACAGATTTTAATTTTTATATATTGAAAAATGTTGTAAGAATTATCAAATATATATATATATATATATATATATATATATATATATATATATATATATATATATATATTTGATAGACACTCACCATCGAAGGCTGGTAGGTGAGGCTGCCTCTTAAGCCAGTCCTTGATGTGCTCTAGATCTTTGTCCCTCGTAGAGACGTCTTCGTTGAGTTCGGTCCGGATGAACACCTGCTGGTCGGGGGTGGGCTGTACCAGAGTCATAATTCTGAAATCAAAATGCCAATATTTTAAAATTTATAATTATAAAATTCTAATAAATATTTAGTAACATATAATCCGAAAGCTATTTAGCAAAAAGTTGATATAAAAGTACAATATTTTGGAAGACTTTATTAATAAAGATGAAATATATCAACTGTTAATGTTTACAATTTTATTAATACATAAATCTTAAAAATATAATCAGATTGATTAATATTGATTGTTTTCAGAAATTTTATTTGTAATAGATACACCATGCATTGTGCAAAGTTGAGGCTTTATGGCATGGAACTAATATTCTTAAGACCGGACCTGTAACCACAAACCTCAATAAATCTTGAAATCTTCAGACTACTAGCTAAGTCTCCCTAATAGAGTCTGAGAACAAGTATTTAAGCATATTGGAGTCAATATAAGAGAAGAATTGTTGTTCTAAACATGATATAGGATCCGTCCATTTCAATAAATCCAGGGAAAAAATATTGTTCAGCTTGACCATTTTTAATTTCTCTTTGTTTATTATTAATTTTTTTCATTATTACAGAGTTCAAACGTAATAATTTCATTGTTTGATATTTCATCTAGCTTCAACGACAGCCATTTAAATTTTACGAAATATGTTGTTTATTGCGTTTGTAGTAATTTACAATGAAATATATCATGTAGAACAGGTGTAATCTAGGTATTCAGGAATTAACAGCATAAATGTTATATTCAGTTCATGTTTAATTTAATTTTTATCGTTTGTAATAAATCACCCTATGTTTAATATGTGTAATACATGTCAGTTATTTAAAATAGTCCGAATTTTCAAGAAACCTTATTCATATGTGTATCACGTAGGCAAAGAAGAAAAAAAGTGTAAATTTTTTTATTTGTTCAGGAAGCCAATTTTCCAAAACATTGAGCTATTATAATTTCTTTCTTTGTTACTAAATTATTTAATAAAAAAATGGACATGATATCCTTTTTATCTTCGGGACACAGACGTAATACATAAAATTGTGTGATTTAGTGATTGGTTCTTTTTTTCGGATTTTATTCAGTTAATATATATATATATATATATTGTTTATTTAATGAAATTTACAACTGTATAAAGAATACAACTAGTAAAAATGCACACATTAGAAATAATTAGATAAACAGACTTGAAGAGATAATGTCCAGTGGAAGCACTCTCTATTTAATTCTAGGTGAGAAGATCACGTAAGATGAAAAGGCCATCTTTTCAGACGCCTAGGGGGATTATCAGTAATTGAGGAAGAAGCAAGGCTGGAAACAAGTGGATTCGGATGGGACTGGAGTTTATCATGAAAGGATAGGTATCTTGCTCGGGCTAAATCAGCGGCATATGGAGCATTAAGGTCTTTATGAATGGTTTTATTTGTGACAAAATATGGGGCATTAAGGATTTTTACGAAGGATTTTGGATTGTAAGGATTGGATATGATAGGAATTCGATGGTTTGGTAGAACCCCAAAGCTCAACTCCGTATGTCAATATAGGTTACGTAGATGAGTCTTTTGTAATTAATTGAAAGTTTAGAGCTTTTGTCTAGTAAGTGTTTGAGCAGTCGGAAAGAATAATATGATTATTAAAATAAGTAAGTAGTTGGAATAGAGACAATTTCTGACTTAGTTTATCTCTTTTCTAGCTACTTGCTTATTTTAATAATATTTTTTATGTAATGGCACTAAATTTTGTCCGCAACAGATGTTATATATACCTTCGAGCTTTTTCTTTGCATTTAATGATTTTTTTTTTTTTTTGTTTATTTAACTTAATACGTTTTACAGAATTATATTTCAGTTAATGCCTATTTTTTTTCTTTGTATTTCTGCTAATCAGCTGTTCAACATAATCTTCCTCAGCTGTGTTGATAGAACCTTATCTTTCCTTTAGTATGTATTTGGCTACGTGAGATATGAATAGCAAACTTTCATTTTTTTTTTTCTGTGCTGTTTTGTTTTTTTCATTTTGGATATATCTGATATTGTTTTTGTTGTCCTGATGATGCCTGAATTGGTGAAATATTGGCCGGTTAACTTATCACATAACTTTATTATTTGGATTTTTGCATTTATACCCAATATGATTGTTAAAATTACTTCCTTTTTTGCCTCCTAGGTAGCAGGCTTTACATTGGCGGTGACATAGTAGCACGTACTTCACAATATTAAGTAAGAAAGTGGCATTGCGGTAATAAAGTTGGCCAGGCTGGGTAAAACCTAGATAAAGAGCCCAAACACGTAGGTGATTTCGCAGTTGTGCTTCCTTTGTGACTATCTTTTTTTCTTTGCGCAACGAACCGTGGCAGGCGCAACTCGCGGTCCTGCGCAATTGTACACAAAGGAGGAGAATACCGCCATTTGAAAGCGAATTGAATCATTCAATCGAAACTTATCATTTGGAACTTGTTTGACAATTAGCGATAGGCTGAATTTCCAGCAGGAAAGTAGGAATTTAAAGTTTTGTGTTTTCTTTAAGTAAGTCGTGATTTTCGTTGAATGCATGATATTTAAAGTACCGAATAATATTAATTCTAGCTTTATATATATATTTTAGCTGATTGATTGAAAATTTGAAAGAAATTCGTCCAAATTTGTTTAAAATTGGATTTATGACTTTTTAAAATATTTATTTATTGAATAATATAACATTATGTTACTTGGACAATAATTATAGTGAGATGAAACTACATTAACACTATACAGAGTGTCCAGTAATTATAGGGAAATTTTTATAAGAGTGATAGCAGACTTCAAGAGCTACAAAATAGTTCATATAAACAAAGGGCCAATTTCCAGCATAAAAGTAGAAAATTTAAGTTTTGTGTTTTTTTAATGTATGCCATGCTTTTTGTTAAATAGAAAGAAATAGCTAGAAAAATATTTAATTTATGAAATTAACAACTGTTTCATAATAAAATAAACGAAATTTACTTCAAACGAAAGTAGAATTTGTCATTGTTAAAGCCTTTTTAAACAGAACTTTTGAGCTCCTAAACTAAGCTAAGTTCACTTTTTCAAAAAATCCAAAAAAAATTATTCGCGATGTTTATTTATCACCATCCAATCATCATCATACCCAACTTTTAGGGAAAACTTTCTCATTTAATAAGTTTTAAATCTCTATTCATTAAATTGAGGTTTACTGGGAGAAAACTTGAGATTCATCGCAAGGAGTATAAAAATATTATGATTTCATATCCTATCACCTAATGGGTACTTTTAGGTGATTTTTGGCAAAAATTACTACAATTAATTGTTGCAGAAGCTTTTTTTTTGTTGTTTTTCCACGTTTTGGAATTAATGTGATAAACATGATTGCCTAAATACGCTTTTAAGTTCTAAAGAAATGTTTCTAGTCCTAAAATTAGAGACGAAATAAATGTTTCTAGTCCACAAATGAAACGGGTAATTTTAGATACGGGCATTCTACTCTGAGTAACGAATACCAGGTATTTTACCCAAATTACTCGAATCACTACTGAGAATTCAATCACTACATCAGTCAATCGTTTGACATCAACTGAAGTAATAATTAAATTATTTGGTACTCAAAAAAAGGTCAGTATTTGAGTAAAATACTTGGTACTCAGTACTCAAAATAGTTATTGCCCATCTCTGCTTTTAGGTGACATGATATAAAATCATTTTTTTATATTACTTGATGTGAATCTATAGTATTTCTCCAATAAACATTTATTTAATTAATATGGACTTAAAACTTACTAAACGAGAAAGTTTTCCTACAAGTAGGGTATCTGTAGTATAAGTAGAGGGTGATAAAAAAATATCGCGAATAATTTATGATTTTTTTAAAAAGCGAACTTAATTTAGCCGCTTAAAAGTACAATGAAGTTTACAGTGAAGCAGTTGGTAATTCTTAAATTAAATACTTCTTTAGTTATCGCTTAAAACCGCGCCTTACTTAAAAAAACACAAAACTTTAAATTCGTTCTTTCCTGCTGGAAATCGGTTCATCGTTCATATAAACTTTTTTTATAGATCTTAAGATATGTTTTCACTTCTATAAATATTTCTCTCTTTACTTACGGGACATCGTGTATAACTGTTTTAAAATAATAAACAATTGTGCGATAGTTTTAATTGATTTAAAATTCTAATCCATTTTCTTATTTAAGCATTAATGTAACAATCAAACCTCTTTTCATATGTTTTTCAATAAAAAAAAAATAGGTGAGAGAAAAAAGAAAATAGGAACTCAGTGATGAAACTCCGCTGATCAAATTTCTTTTTATTTATTGTTTAACAAAAATATTATGTGAACTTGGTAGATCTGGGATTGAATAATAAAATTAGCCGATTTTCAATAATTTGTTTACGACGATTGGTCTAAGAACCTAGGAATTCTTTATCATCTTCTCCAAGAATAATACGACATTTTTTTTTTATCACATTTTACAAAACATGGAATATAAAATTCGTTAGATTGTTGGGTAATTAAAAAAATATATGTATTATAATATATTTATTTATAAATATATTTATTTTTTTAAGAAAGCACTATAGATTTCATAGCTCAGACCAATATTGAAATTATCCAGCCGTGCATATTAAAATATGGAAGTTTGCAATTAACAAGTAATAGGGAATAAAATAAACAATGCAAATTAGTAAGCACAATAAAATATTCACTGTGATATAATTAAAGCAGCTCACAGATTAAATAAAAAGTTAATTCTTTTATTGATTTATCTGAGGTGTGGATAGAAATTAGAGAGATTTTGACTTTGAAGAGTAACAAGACTGATTTTGGACTCCTGCCAACTGGTTTTGGACAATCCTAAACAACTCATGGACTCGGATATGACTGCTGCCTGACTGGAAGCTGGTTCTGAGGAAGCGAGACTCGTTGTTGACACCTTACACAACCCGTCCCACTGACTCAGTTAGGTAAGGGACTCTGTTACATCCGCCAATAGTGAAATCGAGAGGCGTCTTATTTGAGGTAAACAATAGTTTTCTGAAATTGTCT